GGGGCAGAACTTCACAGCGGCTTCCTTGGCCTCAATATACTCAAGAGCTGCTCTGTAAGCATTTCTCGGAATTCTGAAGGTCAAGTGGCGCGAGAAGCCGGTCTTCATCCGCAAGCGCACCCCGGATCAAATCACATCCGCCAAGAAGGTGCGTGAGACTGAACTGATTGAGTTGCCCAAACGCGCATCCTTCTCAAATGCACTTTGCGCGGTGACTTTCAGACGGGTTAAACTTTGCGAGGATGATATCGTGGCACCCTCCATGCGGGAGCCAGCCACTGATGCAGAGCGTTGCAAGAGGCCATGTGCAAGCACAGCAAGCAGAGCTTTTCCGAGACAGTGTCTGGACAAGGGGTCGCGATCTGAACAAAGCCTTAGTGGATCATTGACGGGTTTAGGAAGTCAACTCAAGTCTGGCCTGTGGCCTTTGTGTTTGCAGCCGGCATGTAGGTTTATGAAAATCTGCTTCTGTTACCCGTGGGATGTTGTGTGTGCAACACCTAAGCCTGCGTGTTAAATGCAGGGCGGACTGCGTTTGGGAGTCCGTGTCGAATGCATTTGTGTTTGCAGGTGCGTTTTGGATACATTTCGTGTCTGTTTGGATCCGTCTGGGATGCGTTTGAAGTGCGTCTTAAGTGCAATGCACTTCAAGCGCACTTTAAACACATCCTACCTTCGTGCATCCCAAATCAACCCGAAGGGATCCCAAACGCATCCAAAACGGACCGAAAACGCAATCTCCCAGATGCACCCGAACGCATCCCAAGATTCTGAAACGCATATTTAGGAAAAATACAGCATTTCCAGATTTAGCAGGCCGCAGATTTTCATAAATGTAGGTTCGAGATTTCGCAGCCACCTTCATAGATCTGAACGCAGCCAGCATGGAACAGGCCCGAGTGGCTGATCTGCATCGGTGTCCCGAACCCAGCCGCAACCGTGTGGAGCTTCATGATTTGCTCTTCCTTTGCAGAAGCGGAACATCGACAGATCCTGTATCCCGAAACAGGTCTGCACTCACCTGGGCTGCATCCCCCAGCCTGATGCTGGCAACTACGGCACCTCGCTTATGTCGTGTTGAAGACTTGGGCCCCCTGTTCGAGAGGTTGGTGTTGGCAATGGGACGCTCGTCCGTAGGCAACTACTCCTGAGGTGGCTACTTCTGCCCTTGCCACGGTTCTCATTACGACTATGCTGGCCGAATTCGCCAGGCCTGCGGTGTTGGAGAGAGCGCTCCATTCAAAGCCTTGTCCATGATACGGCCGAACCAAGTGCATGACCTGCAGGGCCCTGCACCGAAGAACCTGGAGGTTCCTCCGCAGGGGCCTTCGCCGGCTATCGGTGTCATGATTGAAAACTAGAAGCCTTGAGCCCGAGGCACTCCTTCCTGGACGAGAACACTGTGAAGTTGGGATAGACCGAAGCTTTTCACAGACTCAGCGTAGCACAAGCTCCAAACAGAGATGTCTTACCTGAGCCGGGCCGTCCGCAACTTCGCAGTACATGTGCTACGTCTGTTGCGGTGCCAATCCTTCAGTGCAGCACTTCCTGTCTTTTTTGGATTGTGGAGAAAATGACTTGTGCTGGACAGTCGCAATTGTGGTGCAGCATCCCGCTACGCACAGCCTTCCTGTGATCCTTGTGGTGAAGAAATAGACACATCAGGGACACCGCTACCTCAGTTCTACTCAGCAGGCACCTGTCATCCAACAGAGAGTTCCCAAGACAAATGGTTCCACTGCACTCTGGTTTGGGGGGTTGCAGTGCTTTGGGTCGCAGATCCGGACAGCTTGATTTGCAGACGCTGTGCACATCCTTCGCTGGTCCAGCTGGTTCAAGCAGTTCTTCTGGTGCTGGCTCATGTTCTGCAAGTGTAATCTGGAACCTCACATCCCAGTCAGGAGAGGCAGAACGAAACTGTCCGATAGGGCGACGGCACAACATCGACTCGTCCCAGCAGCCCCCTAAGTTCCCATGATGCACCTACACTTCTGCATCATTGTCAATGCTTACAACTCGCTTGCATGTCCGTCCGGAGGAGGAGTTGTCTTGGAGCCTCGCAGTGCCTGGGCTCACATGTTGTTCGTCTATGTTCCTGCTGAGCAGCAGGGATCAGTTTCAGCTCATGGGGGTGTCGCATGAGGCCTCAGGAAGAAGGATGTTTTGCGGGAGCATGGGGACGGAGGGGACCGGCTTCTTCGCAAGCCGGAGTCAGCTCGAGGTCGAGACGGAGCTGACTGTCCGCGAGCTGGAGCAGGTCATCCAAAGGTCCGCAGGATTCTTCCGATATCATGCGCCTCAGACGCTGATTTAAGACCATGCCTTTTGCGCGATTCGAGCTGTGACAGCTCCCCGCAACTCGACGCCGCCCTTAGAATAGATCTCGACGGCTGACATACGTGTCGAATAGGACACATATTAAATGGGCTATGAGGCCGAGTTGCTAAACGGCAAGTTGTGACACCGCAAACACAGGAACACACACTACATTGTCACTACATTTGAAGCATCTACAAAACTATGAAAGCTTACACGTGCATATATGTTCCGCTATCAGCGGTTAAGTTAGTTGGGATTCAGGGATTAGTCTATTCGTTCGATTGAGCAGCTCCGATATCCATGGGGTGCTCCGTCTTCTCGTTCGAGGTTGGAGGCCGCTCCCACTCGGTCGAACCGCGCAAGACTGTCACGGCAGGGTATCTTTGCCGCTCGTGGTGCGAGCTGAGGGTGACCTACCGTGCCTCTGGTGACTCCTACATCGACTGGAGTTCCGTTTCAGAGACCCCAACAATCGGATGGATTTCCGATCTGGAAGGATCTCCACCCCGCTCAATAATTAACACGATCAATGCGTGCCGACATCAGCGGGCCAGAGTGGAGTGCCCGGATCAGGTGCACTAGTTCGCTCAGCTGGTGGCGCAAAACGCCCTGGTTCAACGCGTTAAGGCATCTCGGCAGCATAAGCTGGCGTCGCGTTCAGCTCCCGGCGACGGTGATTTCCGTTACAGAGCTCGCTCGAAGCTGGTGGTTGTTCCTCCGATGTACTTCGATTAGAATGCCCTCGCCTTGCGCGCGCACATCGAGGCCCAGGGTCTGGCAGTGACGGTGGGTCCACCGTGATCGAGCCTGCACATATACATTCTGGCAGGAGCGCTGCGCACATGAGCGTGTTGGCCCAAAACCCACTGCCAAACTGCCTACGGGAGTGGAGCTTGTGACCTATGTTTACTTGACCCGTGCTGCGCATTCCTTCCAAGTCAGCCGAAACGTTGTCATCTCACAGGCGCAGTGTGCCAGTTGCAGGCTTGTGATCAAAGCTCCGTGGAAGCGTCAGAGGAATCGTCAAGTCGTGGAGCTTCTGTGTACCAGAGGTCACCAGTTTTCGTTTCTAGGAGCGCCCCTCCACAACTAGTTTAGCAGGACGTCAAACGGCTCCCACCAGCCAGCAGTAACTTCAGCTTCTTCGGCAAGTGACCGCAAGCTTGTGCAGACCGTGACTGCACCACGAAGACGCTTTCAATCTCCACTCCTTGGACTCGCTTCGTGTTGTTCTGCTCGAATCACGGTCACGATCAGGGTCTTCCCCCCAACGTGTGGAGAGTCGCCAAGTTGTGGCGCATCCACCAGGAAGCGGGGAAAGTGAACATGTCACTGAGAGCAATGGGCTTATTCATCCTCGGCGAGATCAAGAAGTGCGCGGAAGTGGTCTACAAGGACAAGCAAACGAAAGCCCAGACCAACCACTGCTTGAACGAGATGGGTCAGTGGGACTATCTATACCGGGACCCTTCGGAGAAGAAGCACAAGCGCAACTCCGATATCCCAACCATCGGCCGCGAGAAGGTGATGGAGATGCTGACACTCCTGGGCCTGGAAGAACTCCTCCCATCGCCGAATGTGGTCCACCGGCTCCATTCTCTTCGCCCGTTGACGGAGTGCTCCGAAACCATGGAGAAAGGTTTGCGAGCATCCGAGGCCCAAGAAGCGTACACCATCCTCCGCCAGCTCAGTCAGCTGGCGATCACCCAGCCAGCATCTCTCAATCTGAGACCGGACAAGCTTCAGAGATCGGCCCTGGCCAATCATATCCAGCAGCAGATCGCCAAGCTCTCCTGTCGCTGAGGCTGGTCAACTCCTCCAATGTGTGTTGCACGCATTGCTTCCTGCTTGTATGGCTTCAGCCCACTATGCCAGTATGCTGACACCAAATCCGCAGTTGGACCTCTCTCACCCGGGTGTGGGAGGCACCTCGCGCCCAGCACGATGTGGCTGAATTCGTTCAATTTTTGGCTGAAGCCTTACACATGCCGCATCTAACGATCAGTTGGCAAGTTCGCACTCACCGCTGCAGGTATCCAAGTCGCGGAGCATGGTTCCACATTCGTTCTGAGCCTGCCTCTTATCACGTCACTTCACCAGGATGTTCACGGCCTTGTTAACTCCTGGTGCACAAAAAATATGGGGAAGTGTAGGCCTTCGTTGAGCCGCCCGCGGCCATGGCTTGCCATTATCCAAAAGGCCCGTTTCTTTGGAGCCTCCAAATAACACAAGGCAGTGCTTGCCATTCGCGGTCGTTGCCAGGCCATTGCTTGTTGATCAAAACAAGAATGCATACGTGTCAAATGACACTGTCGTTGCTGCGAGAATCTGTGCTCCTGACTGGCTTCGGACACGCAAGCGGCGATCTCAAAGTCAAAAAGTATACCTGCATGCCTACATGGAAGTATGTGGGTATGTAGGTACGTAGGTCTGCAGGTACACAGGTATGTAGGTAGGTAGGCATCCAGCGATGTTGGTATGTATGCATGTATGTGTGTACGTATGTATAGGTATCACCAATGTCTGCCTGTATTCCTGCAGGGGTCTATGTGTGTATGTGTGTATGCATGTACATGTGTACATGTGTAGGTCAGTAAGCATGTGTGTATCAGTACTTTAACACTAAAATTGTCTGGTTGAATGTGTATGTGAGCATGTGAGAATATGTGGGTGTACGTGGGTGTGTGTTATCATCTGCATACTTGGTTCTGCATCTGTACATGTACATGTGCACATATGCGTGAATGATTTTGATATGTGTTTCTGTTTGCGTGTGTTTGCGGGCTGCAGGTAGCTGGCATTTGTTCGAAGTATGTTTATGGAACAAGTGCAGATGCATGAGTGTATGCGTTTACTTCTGCATCAGTAGATGTGTTGGCCCACGTTATTCCAAGTTTTTGCAGAAAGTTGTGAATGAACAGCCCGATAGACGGCAAAAAACCCAGGTGCGCAATTGGCGAGAGATCGCGGAGTACATCAGCCAGAACCCGGACACTTGAGATTCCAGGGCTGTCAAGAGTTTGTTGTTGTTTGAAAGCGTTTCCCGCCCACTTCGGCTGCACACTTTGCTGGTCAATCTCCGCAACACCAACAACCCCTTAACGCAACCTTAACCAACTCTGGAAAGGGTTTGTTTGTCAAGAATTTTTTTGTTGGTTGATGCAAGCTGAGAACCGGGAAGGATAAGAGACGACTCCTTTCACATTATTGCCGGCATCGGCCTTGCAACGGACATTGGCATTTCGGCTTGGAAGACTCAGCATCCCAATGCGGATTTGCATGGGTTCAAAAAGATCGTGCATCGCGCTTTTTGGCTTTGGTAAGATCTGCTGTCGGAGCACCCTGCCGTAACACGTGCTCGTCGTGCAAATGTACCTCAGGAAGCCCCGCAATTAAATACATGTGCGCATGTGCCTCAGAACATCCAAAAGCAATGGTTTTTTGGGGCACAGCCACAGGTTGCCGTGGAGTGGGTTTGTGTGGGCTGGATGGGTGTGGGCATGTGTGTGTGTGTTGTACGTTGTGGGGGGGTGGCTGGGGTGTGGTGGTTGTGGGTTTGGGCGTGGGTGTGGGGGTGGGGGTCGGAGTCGGGGTGGGGGTGGGTTGATGTGGGTTGGTGTGGGTTCTAGTGTGGTGTGGGTATGTTGCGGTATGTTATTTTGCGCAGATGTCATCTCCATTTGGAGGAGACAGTGATCCGTGAGCTGGAGTCCTGCTTGCCAAAGAGCAAGAAGGAGATTTGCAGTTGTAGAAGAAGTTCTGTTGGGCAAGAAGCACGTGTTCTGTTGGTTCTGCAGGACACCGGCGATATCTGCGGGGTTGAGCTCAGAGTGGCGCCTGCTCAAACGTTTTTGGTTTGTAGGGAGAAGGTGTTAAGATTCCTCGAATTGACCCCGTGGCTGTGTGGTGTTCGTGTGTGTGTGTGTGTGCGT